ACTGAGCTCTTCGTCGAGAGATCTAATCTTGACGTCGAACTCAGTCTTCTGTTCTGTTTGCGTCTCGCGGAGTTTGGCATTATGCTGCAGGAGGGTTGAATTTTTATCCTGCAGATAGCTGATGGTGCTCTCAAGACCCTTGATCGACTTGCCCGAGCTGTCCCGAGCTTCCTTGGCCAGTGGCAAAAAATCAACCAAGCCCTATCAACAAAGAAGACAAGGCAATTCAACGCATGAATCGAAAAAGAAAAAGGAGAAGAACCAATGTAGAGTAGGGAGTAATACCTGAGCAAACCACTGCACGAGTTTATCGCCAACCTCGGGCAGGGTGATGCTGGATTTTTTGTGATCATCCTCGAGGAGGACACCCTCGAGCGGTCGGCCACCTAATTAGCGTAGGCCGACAAGAGAGAGGTCGGTTTTGGGGCCAACGGATCAGAAGGAAGATAGCCAGCGCGCCCCCGCTTGACAACGACCTCGCTCTGTTCTGTTCGAGGACGTTTGCCCAAGGCTGACTCACGCCCCCCGTCATCGCGATTGCCGGATTCGACCAGAGTTTTGGTCTATACGACAAGGGTGGTTTTAGAAGATTGGTGGGTCAGGGGCAGTTTTTCTTGGGTTTTGGTTTTGGAGGATGTGTTGGGCTCGGAGGCTTTTCGATAGTTCTGCCTTGAAGGTTGGCTTTGGGCGAGGAGCTTCGTGGACCCGTCTTTTGATGGCGGTCGTCGGCTTTCTGATGGCGGTCGACGGCTTTTTGACGATCCCCGGTCTTAGGTTGGGGATCGACGGTTTTCGAGGAGTTGGAGGATTTGGTGGTCGATTGAGAGGCGGATGGGTGCTGTTGCTGCTGGTGTTTGGGTGGAAAGGGTTGTTGTGACTAGTGTGGTTGCTGTTGTGGTTGTTTTTGTTGTGGTAGCTGCTTCGGCTGTTGCGGTTGTTGTGTGCCCTTGGGCGGCGGTGGAGGAGGAGGAGTTTGTCGCAGGGGAGATTGCGGAGGAGGCGGTGGAGTTTGTCGTGGGGGCGACTGTTGTTGCGACTCTGGCCGAGATCCGCCAGAGCTAGTCGAGCCATCGACTTTATCACCGGTTGATCCGGCGGCAGTCCCTGATTTCTTCTTCAGAGGAACCTTCCTCTGGGGGATGTTAAAAGTAGGAGCCTCTACACGAATACAGCAGGGGAATCAAGATAAATATCAGTTTTTCACTTCAACAGAAATAGGAGCATACAAGTAAACATTCGAGCAACTGCGTGGAGAATTACCTGGATCGTTGTCAATGCGAACAAGATCGAGAATCTCCTCAGTAGGAGGAGAGAAGGTTTTGTGGGTAAGTAGACCACAGAAGTGAAGAAGATTGTCATCACAGAGAAATTTTTCAGACGCAACGGTCTTGGAGTTCCAGGTATGGATTCGTTGGTCGAAGAGGGGGTTCGCTGGAGGGGCCGAGGCTGCATCTTTCGAGACATCCCTGACCCAAGGGACGGAAGGCCAAGGTAAAGGGACGTCAGGTCGAACGAAAATGAACTTATCGCTCCACTTGGGAAGGTTGGAGGGGATGTCGTTAATGAAGTTCGCACCATTGCGGCTTCTTAAGTAGAGACCCCGGCCCAGTTTAGAGGGGCAGTAACAATAATGGAAGAAGTCTAGGTCGAATCGACCCAGACGGATATGACAAAGGATGATGAAAGTGGTGATGAAATGGATGGCGTTAGGAGGGAGTTGATGCAAGGGAAACGAGAACCACTCGCAGATACGGATTATGTCACGGTTCAAAGGAAAACGCAACCCGAGCTTAAACTGGACCTCGAAGAAAGGGTAACAGTCTCGAGGAGGATGATCATACCGAGCAGAAGGGGAAAATCTAATGAACGCCCAACCAAGAGGTTGACCGATTTTGTCAGGGTTAAACCAGGGATGAGAAAGGGTAGTAGAAGATGAGCGCTTGGAAAGTTTTTTGGTCGAGGACTGTTTAGGGGGAGAATTTGAAGGGGAAGGAGCAGTTGGCTGTGAAGAAATAACCTCGTCCTCCTTTGGATCATCTAGCGCACCAAGAGGAGGTCGACGGCTGCGAAGGGGAATGTAATCCATGGTGTCGCCGGAATTGGAGGAAGCAACACGAGCTGTGAAAACACGGGTAGGAACAGTATCACCGGGGCGAAGAATCGAGAGAGGAACGGCTTCAAGTGCAGAAGGCAAGATCTCAACTGAACCAGAAGAGGAGGTCGAGGTAGCAGGATCTGAAAACAAAAGTAGAGAGGAACAATATCAAAAAGAGGAATTTTGACAAAAAGGAGAAAGGTAGGAGGAGAAGGTTTTAAAAATTAGGGTTCCACGAAAGGGGCTATTTTGAAGAAAAGGAACAGGGATTCCGAGAGAATTTCAAAGGGGAAGAGCGAAATCTACAACGATCAACAGACAAGCACAAAAATTCAATGCACAGATTCAAAACATTCAATCAGCAAACTTCAGATACCCAATTCGAAAGAGAAAAGAGAGAAAAAATTTCTCAAAACACAAAAGCCCAGATACAGGAAGTACAAAATCAAGAGAAAAACAACTTACTCATAATCGCGGGGGAGAGAATCGGGAAAACTTGAAAATTGCAGGAAAAATCGCCGACGGAAGCTAAGATTTTTGCAGAGAGAACTTTGAACGCAAAGGAATTTGGGAGAGATGAAGGTGGAAAAAGTCAGAAATTCTGCTAAGTACCGATTTTATACCCTGGAGAGTTCAAAGGGTGAAAAAGGAAAACCGTCCGATTAAAGTGGGATCGTGCGGCAGAAAAATTAAATTACACGGTACTCGAAGTGGGCACGTTATGCGAGGGGGAGCCATCATTAAAGTACCTGACACACGCGAACAGGCGTGACACGTGGCGAAAAAGCAGGAGCGACAGGAAGGACTTGAAACAGGCGACTTTATTACTGGCAATTAATGGGAAATTATTTGAAAATGTGAGCGGGAAACCTATTACCTAGTCGATATTGAATGACGAACCACCGAGGAGGTCGATAAATACCAATTCACTCTTAGATCGAGTCGTCCAGACTCGACCAGAGTGGGGGGGGACTAGATGATATGGGATATTATATACATAAAGCTAAACCGGTCTTCTGGGCCGGTCGAGAAGGTCAAACCAAGAGGGAGCCGAGCCAAAAGGCGGGAAGATCGAACATTCAGGGAAACGACCAGACTAATGAGCGAGCAATCCATCGCTCGACCAGACTAATGATCGAGCAATCCATCTCGCGACCAGACTCATGATCGAGCAATCCATCGCTCGACCAGGACAATGATCGAGCAAGCTAGTCGATCCCAGTGAGATGATCGCTTCGAGGAATTCGTAATCGACCTAGTTATGGGCGCGTGTACCATAGGCGCGCGTGGGAGCCTCTGACCGAAATCTCCAGAGAATATTTACCCTATGTGCTGGGGAAACACGTGTCAACAATGTATTGGGTGATGGTGATAACTACCTCTGACAACTCCCCAACGCCTTGCGCCACCTCTGACATGTGGGCGACGTGTCAGAGTACGGACGGGCAGCTTGGGCAGCCAGCTCACCTCATCCGGGCAGCTCTTAGGGCAGGTATCTCACCCCTATATAAAGGGGGTGAGCCTTTCTTCCCAAACACATTCTATTCACTCTCTGAATTCCAGTATACTTAAACACATATTGACTTAAGCATCGGAGGCTCTTCACCGGACACAACCCCCGGTGTGAGAGTTATTTGCAGGTCTCCGGCGTTCTATCGGCGAGGACCAAGATCTATCCGTCCAAACCGAACTGGGACGCTTACACTTGCATTAAGCGCATTCTGGAATTATATATAGGGAGGATATACAATTCAATAAATATAATAAGGAATAATATTAAAATACAATTAATACATGTAACATGACCATAAATAATCAACATATTTATGGTAATCCGAACCTAATTATTTTTGGTTTGGAATTAAATTAAAATTTATCCAAGCCTAATAACGAAACATGTAATTTTGCCACATAGGATTCCGAAGCACCAGAAGCAGCCACGTAGGCTCAGCGCGTTCTGTATTAATATATAGGGGGATTTAATATAATTTACATTATCTTTCAAATTTAATTTTATTTGTCCATATGCAATGTTAATATATATTAAACGTTAACACATCTAACACATAAACATAGTAGTACAGTGGTTTGTATGCATGCTCCTCCCTTAATGAGGTCCTAGGTTCGAATCCTAGAGGCGGCATCATTTTTTTATTCAAATCCTCGCGATATATTCAATTTCTCGCGATATATTGAATATATCATGATAAATTCAATTTATCAGAAATATATATAT